TGGGCTCAAGGTTTGGCACAGCGCGCGTTCCCCCCGCGCCCCCCGGGTGCACACGCCCGCCGACGCGCTCTCGCTCGCCCTTCCCCCGCGGGGGGCGCGCCAGTGTGCTCGAGGAAATAAATCTAGATGCGGAGCCCGATTTTCTCCACGCCGACGTCGCCGATGCACCGCCGACGTCGGCGATGCAGCGCCGATGCATCGCCGATTCATCTTGGCGATGCGGCGCGATCGGTCGACCCCATCTACACGGACCCCATCTACGAGGCCTCTAAATGAGGGGACAGTTTGTTTTACCCCCCGGCGGTAGCGGGCGTGATTGGGGGGAGGAACGGGGGGGGTTCGAGGAGGAAGCGGTACTCTGGGTTTCTTAATAAGCGTGGTGGGGTACCCCTTCGACGGGGGTCAACCTCGCCTCGTCATGTGGCTGTCGGTGGGGTCGGTATGGGGCCGTCGGCGGGAATGACGCCCCCCCGACGCTTATTAAGAAACTTGGAATACCCATACCACTACCCTCTTCCCTCGTTTACCCCTCTTTGGGCCTCCTGGAATGCCCTCGTCGCCACCGCTAGATTTGCCTCGAAATTCTGGTCAGAACGTGCCCCGGGAGAGTGAAGCTAAGTCCATACTGAGCAAGTCCATGCGAAGCGCCCAGTCTCCGTATGGACTTACCCCGTCTGGATTTAGCCTCTCCTGATGGGAGGCTAGGTCCATACGGAGTAAGTCCGTGCTCGGTCTTCGTCTGGACGACTTGCTGCTTCGTCTGGACTTGCTTCGTCTGGACCTAGCCTCTTTTGAAAGGGGGCGGGGACAGTCGCGGGCGCCATCGCAAAACAATGGGCTCAATGTGAGAGCAGACTGGGGGGCTGAGGTGGCCCAGCACCCTTTCTGGCCAGCAGGAAGGGGCAGAAAGGGGGCCCCTCGTCGCCAGTCGCCACGGCTGGGCGCTGCACAAAAGGCTGCCCTTGAAGGGGCCTGGGGATGGATTTCGAGCGACTTCGGCTTCATGCCCCCTTCGTGACCAAGTCTCCCGCCTCCGAGAAGGAGCACGCTGTCTAAGGCCAAGTGTTGTCGACGCCGATCTTGGGCTTGGTCCCTGCTGGCCGTCGCCGATTCGCGAGGGTGATCGAAGACCCGATGATGACAGATTCACGATGACCAGGATCCGCTCCGACGTCTCAACGCTCAGTCTTGGTCATGGTCATCGTTGTTTCTCTTCCATGGATACGGGGCGGCGCGCGCGGCGAGGAGAAGGGTCGCCCGTCTTGCAGGGGCCAAGTCTACCTGCGTCTACAAGACCACGCTCTGGGGCCTACGCCAAATGCCGTTTTCATTTTCTCTCCTAAGGCCTTTTGGGGTCCCAGGACCCTGGGGGTCGGGCGGACCCTAACGGGAAGGTCGGTTCTGGCGTGTGTCCGGTCGGGCGGGCGGATCCTAACGGGCAGGTCGGGTCGGGCGAGCGGGACATTAAAGTATGATACGCCATCGAAGTTGGCATGCGTGTACCCCAACGGGCGGGTGGGGTAGGGCGAGCGGGACATTCAAGTATGATTCACCAATCATCAAACAATCATTGACACCCAACGCACAGCTACACGCCAACAACCAATAACCAACCATCAAACACATACGACAACAATCCTTAACAACCAGCAGCCATGCATCATCACAAGAAGGAACAACCAGCCACCACCGCAACCAACTACCAACCAACTAACACAAATCAATGACAACGGACAACAACGACGAACGCAATACCAACACCAGCAGCAACAACAACAACAGCAACAGCACCAACAACACCACAACACCACCGACACCAACAACACCACCGACACCAACAACACCAAGCACAGCAAACGCGGACAAACAGGGACACGACGGACATCTGCGGACATAAGTTGACACGCGGACAAGAAGGGACAAACAAGGACAAGAAGGGGCAACATTTCGCAACCACACCTTCCACATGTATAGCACGGAAGGTGGAGGCCCAGGGTTTCCCCCGTCGTTCGTCTCCTGAGGCGGCCAGCTCCGGGAAGCCGTCCGAGTCCGTGGCGCGACCCTTTTCCGGGGACGGGGCGAGGCATTTTGCCGCCATGCTTGCTTTAGCCGCAGCTGGAGCCATTGCCTACGCGCTCGGTCGCGGGCAGATTGCCGCCGCGGCGGGGGCCGACGGGTACGCTTCACGCGCCGACATACCCAGCGGGTGCGAGCTCGACGATGCCAACAAGGTGCCCCACGACGGCACGTGCCTCTTCGACGACCAGTGCAGCGGGGGTTACTGCTGTCCTTACTTCAAGGTCTGCCAAGATGGCAATCGGGCTTTCGGCGACTGGTCGAACGACCCCCTGAAGGTGGAGATCCTTTACGCGTCAGGGGTCAACGGCGGCGAAGGAACCAACGGCTGTGGCGACGGAGGGAACAACGTGTGTGACGCGTGCGCCTTCAGGGGTGAGTCGGGTACGTCCATCGACCCTTGCTACGAGCCGCTTGGGTATCCAGTTCTCACCACGTCACCCAACATGTGGAATCTACCTCTTTGGGACATCACCAACCCGATCTGCAATTGTGACCAACGTTTCATTGACTACGTGTTGAACGGCCAGTGGGTCCCTCAGTGCGGCGGTGCGACGCAAGCCGACCCGACTCCAGCGCCGCCACCGACGCCAGCGCCACCACCGGCAGGGAACGTGTTAAAAGGGGGATAGGCTCACGAGGGGACGCGATGCATCGACCCCCAATCGCGCACCAATCGCCGATAGAGGCCCGATAGCCTGCCCCGCCCAGGAACGTCTGGTCGCGCTGTCGGGGACCTACCGCCGATTCCGCGGTGCACCGCCGACTCCAGGTCGATGTTTCCTCCCCCTGTGCCGGTCCTCGGTTCCCTCCTGACGGGCCCCCCCACGTCCCCTCCGACGCTGGCGCTCGAAGCAGAAAAAACGACCCCAGATTTCGTAATAAAAGGGAGGGGGTCTGGACCCTCCAAGACAAGCCATTTCAGACCTCCCCCGTGGGAGAACCCTCCAAAACATCGTCCCCAGACCCCCCAGGCCCTCCAAGATAGCATGGAAGAGTCCCCCCCCCGAAATGAGACCCCCCTCCCTTGATTACGAAATCTGGAGTACATGAACATACACTTTCAAAATCCCCAGGGGGACCCCAGCGCCGATCCGAGAGGTCCGCGCGCACATCCGAAGTCTTAGGTTCCTCTTGAGATCCAGCGTTGCGAGCAAAATGGAAGCGCTGTGAACAATTTCGACCAGAGATGGCCCCAGGGGCCCAGGAAACCACCACCCACCAAACCACCCCAACCCAACCCGAAGGCCCCAATTTGCCCTCCATTTCCAGTTGGGGGGGGTCGGGGAACGTCGAGAAAACGCACATGAAGCCCTTACCTCCCCCCAACCCGAAATTCGGGTCTTCGGGTTGGGTTGGGGTGGTTTGGTAGGTAGTCAGGAAACCACACGAGCACGCCGGGCGCGAAGAGACTGCGCAGCAAGGATTCCGCCGCTGGCGTTCGACGTCGAACGCCGCCTGCGATCCAGAGCCGGTCGATGTTGAACGGTGGTTCAAATATGGATTTGCATTGTCTGAGGCACCTCGTCCTTTGGACCCCGTCCCTCAGGACCCCATCTTTGAACCACCGAGCTGAACGATCAGTCGTCTCGGAAACGGCCGATCATGTAAGGTGGGACGTTCCCCGCGGTGTCAGAAACCAACGCCGAAGTCGGCCTCGACACGAACCTGCCGTACGTATATCGGGATCCCGCCAAGGGGGAGTGTGCCCCGTGTGTGTGTGTGTGTGCGTGCGTGTGTGTGTGAGTGTGAGTTCGATCGGATTTTGCGCCGAACCGCCCAAAACAGATGCCCTCCAGCCGACTGGCAAAGCTCCCGATGGTTGCGGATGGGTCAGGCATGCGGGGGGCATCTGTTCGCGGCAGTTCGGTGCATCAAGGATTGCAAAAAAAAACAGGATTGCAAAAAACATGGTTTTTTTGAAACCCAGTTTTTTTTGCAAGCCCAGGTTTCTTTGCAATCCTTGGATCGAGCTCATGCCCTCCCCCAGGGTCACCCCCCCTTTTGGTGGATCCCGAGCACACCGTTTTTTTTGGTCCTCGAGGGGGCCCTGCCCGCCGCGGCCGGCCTCGCGCGGCGGGCGGCCGGGGCCGCCCCCGTGGCGGCCCTGCTGCTCGCGGGCGCCGCCGCGGTCGTGGTCGCCCGGCGCCGCACGAAAGGCCGACGAGGATCGGCCGACGACCGACGACTGCGACGACGACGACGACGACGACGCCGACGACGACGCCGACGCCGACGCCGACGCCGACGCCGACGCCGACGCCCACGACGCCGCCGCCGACGCCCACGACGCCGCCGCCGACGACGACGACGAGGCGGCGGAGGCGATCGGCGGCGACGATTGGTGCTCGTTCGCAGTCCGGATATGCCCGCGACCAGTGAGACGCACTGGCGTGTTCTCTGCCTCCAGTGCTCATCTGCAGCGGCCAGCCAGGTCCGCTCGCACCGAGCGCCGACGGCGGCCTCCTCCGCCATCTGCGGCGTCCGCCATCCTCCGTGCTGAGAGCGGAGGAGGACGGGGGAGGAGTGACCAGATGGAGGAGGAGGCGGAGGAGGAGGAGGAGGAGGAGGAGGAGGAGGAGGAGGAGGAGGAGGAGACGAGGCAGAGGAGGAGGAGGGAGGAGGAGGAGGAGGAGGAGGAGGAGGAAGGAGGAGGAGGAGAGAGGAGGAGGAGTAGGCGAGAGAGGCGGAAGAGGAGCAGGAGAGGAGGACTCTGCATGATGCTGAGCCTGGCCATTCATGACGTGGCGTCCAAGCACGGGGGGTGCCTCGAGGGCACGAGCCGTCGGGTGCACCTCCCCCGACCGCGGCACCCCGCCCTGGCCGCACCCGGGGACCATGCCCCAGAACACGCTCTACACTACCGCACGCGAGCAGGAGGAGGAGGTGGACCATTAGGAGGAGGAGGAGGAGGAGGAGGAGGAGGAGGAGGAGGAGGAGATTTGTATGTCGCCGGGGAGCTCTCTTGCAGCTCAGTCAGGCTGACCAGGGCGAGGGAAGAAGCCAGACGTTTGTCTCCCTCGTGTTCTGCGGAGGGTGCTTGCCTTGTCTGTTGAAACCAGGACCTAGCTGTGCGTCCTGCACCTCGCAACTCTCTGCCTTGGCATTGTTCCCCCCAGCTTCACGACTCTGCCACCCGTACTGTGGAAGTGACAGCCGAGACAGACACACTTGTCTACGAGCGCAAGAGAAGTCGCCCCGTGGCTAAGGAAAAAGGGGAGCAGAAGGGGGGGAAAGGGGGGAGGGAGGAGCGGCAGCAGCAAGAGCAGGCAGTGCAAGCGGCGCAGCTCGCGGCCGCCGCCTGGCGCCCCCGCTTTGCGGGGCGCCCGCCCTACATCCCCAGGACGAAAGTTTTGTTTCCTCGTGTGCCCGGAACGACGGCGTGAGGTCTCGAGCAGATGCGCGTGAGGTAACCGCCGTCGGATCCCGCGAAGTTCGCGCGGATCTAATTGTGTTTCCGTCCACGCGGATCCGATTCCGAATTTGCTGAATCCGTGTTGGGTCTTATTTTTGAAGGCGGATCTAATAGTTACCTTGTGATGAGTTTTTCTATGATTGGATGCGAGGAGCCGGAAGAAATCGGATCCACGGACCCCGGATCCCGCCCGTGTTAAGATTCTACGGGGGAAGGGGGCTCGGTCATTAACTTCCAACTCATCGTCGCCTTTTGCACCTCAAGAGGAAAATCGTTCGACTTGCGTAAGTGCGTTTCGGCCCTGCGTCTCTTGGCCAAACAGACTGCCTGTGAGATGTGGTGTGTCGGCTATGTGGCAACCGACAAGTCCGAAGGTCAAAACGCCCATGCGTTTCGGCCCTGCGGTTCTTGACCCGACAGACCGCCTGTGAGATGTGGTGTGTCGGTTATGTGGTAACCAACAAATCCGAAGGCCAACACGCCCATGCGTTTCGGCCCTGCGTCTCTTGGCCCAACAGACTGCCTGTGAGATGTGGTGTGTCGGCTATGTGGCCACCAACAAGTCCGAAGGCCAAAACGCCCACCCCCAGGACGAAAGTTTGTTCCTCTTGCGCACGGAACGACGGCTTGAGGTCTTGAGCAGGCACGTTAGGTAACCGCCGTCGGATCCCGCGAAGTTCGCGCGGATCCAATTGTGGTTTTGGCGCCTGCTTCGGTGGATCCGATGTTCGTCTGCGCCGATCCGAAGTCGGATGGATCCTTGATGGTTTCTTATGGTGGATATAATGTTTACACCGTTTCAAGTTTATAGGATTAGATAAAAGCGGGGAACCGGAAGGAATCGGATCCGCGGACCCCGGACCCAGCCCGTGTTAAGATTCTACGGGGGAAGGGGGCTCGGTCATTAACTTCCAACTCATCGTCGCCCTTTGCACCTCAAGAGGAAAATCGTTCGACCTGCGTAAGTGCGCTTTGGCCCTGCGTTTCCTGGCCCAATAGACAGCCTGTGAGATGTGGTGTGTCGGCTATGTGGCAACCAACAAGTCCGAAGGCCAAAACGCCTATGCGTTTCGGCCGTGCGTTTCTTGACCCGACAGACAGCCTGTGAGATGTGGTGTGTCGGTTATGTGGTCACCAACAGGTCCGAAGTCAAAACCGTTCATGCGTTTCCGCCCTGCGTCTCTTGGCCCAACAGACTGCCTGTGAGATGTGGTGTGTCGGCTATGTGACCACCAACAAGTCCGAAGGCCAAAACGCCCAGAGCGTTTCGGCCTTGCGTCTCTTGGCCCAACAGACTGCCTGTGAGATGTGGTGTGTCGGCTATGTGCTAACCAACAAATCCGAATGCCAAAACACCCATGCGTTTCGGCCCTGCGTTTCTTGACCCGACAGACTGCCTGTGAGATGTGGTGTGTCGGTTATGTGGTAGTCAACCGGTAGGCCAAAACGCTTATGCGTTTCGGCCCTGCGTCTCTTGGCCCAACAGACTGCCTGTGAGATGTGGTGTGTCGGCTATGTGGCCACCAACAAGTCCGAAGGCCAAAACGCTCATCCCCAGGACGAAAATTTGTTCCTCTTGCGCACGGAGCGACGGCTTGAGGTCTTGAGCAGGCGCGTGAGGTAACCGCCGTCGGATCCCGCGAAGTTCGCGCGGATCCAATTGTGGTTTTGGCGCCTGCTTCGGTGGAACAGATTTCCGTCCGCGCGGATCCACTTTCGGATTTGCTGGGTCCGTGTTCGTTTTTTTTGTTACGGCGGATTAATTGTTACCCCGTGTGAAATTTATATGATTAGATAAAAAGCGGGGAACCGGAAGGAACTGGATCCGCGGACCCCGGACCCCGCCCGTGTTAAGATTCTACGGGGGAAGGGGGCTCGGTCATTAACTTCCAACTCATCGTCGCCCTTTGCACCTCGAGAAGAATTTTTCGTCCTGCGTAAGTAGCAGCAGCCTGGCTGAGACAGACACAAGAAGGACCCGTCCAATATGTTCACCACACCGCAGCGGTGCTTCATGCGGGCAATCATGTCGATGTTGAGCCGAGGAGGCTTAGAGCAGCGGCCTGTGGGAGGACGTTTTTCACCCCGCCTGTCGCGGAGACAAACATTTCCCCCCAGGATCTTGCCCAGCTCTGGTCGTGGGCTGCTGCAGCCGATGACTTCGCCTGGGGAGGGGGCTTGCAGCACTCGACCTCCGATGCGTTACAGTTGGGCCAGTCCTTGAAGAGCTTGGCAGCAAGTTTCAGCACCACTCTGCCGGTGCTGATTTAGGCATTGATAAAAAAGTGAGATCATCCCAGACACTGGCCTCGGATGTGGGGTGGATCACGGCCCCCAGCGTAATTAGCCGAAACATCCGCAGCGTAGTTGCTTCGTCTACGGAAGCGCTTCTAATCATTGATGCCGACTTCGCCCAGTTCTTTGTTGACCGCGAGTTTCACAACAGCCGAAATCTTCCCAGAGGCGCCCGAGAAACACTCCAGAACCTGGCCAGCGCAGGCCCGCTTGCAAAAGGCACGGTTCACGGGGACGCTGGAACAGACCAAGACAAAATGGGCGCCAACCACCCTTTTATTTGATGCCAGCCGCCGTCGGGGAGCAGAGTTCTCCCGCCCGAGGTGACTCAGGAACGTGAGACCATACTGGTCCATAACACCTGCCTAACAGGAACGCACTGGCTGAAACTTGAGGCAGGGCCCAGTCAGCACGAAATGTCTCTTTGATGTCCGACTTGTAGCGGCTGCCGTCCAGGAACACGTGCCTGCAGCATCTGAGATCTTCTGAACCAGGGTAAACCAGCTTCTCTGAAGCCTTCCCCGAAGGATTTCGCAACCAAGTGGTCCTCATTTGGTTGCTTGAAAAGGTCCAGTAGCAAAGTCTCCAGGGGGAGGAACGGCCTCAGTGAGGAACAATATGAGGTCCTGCGAGCCCGACTGGACGGCTTCGAAAGCTTTCTGGATCAAGGCATCGTCGGTGATCTCTCTCCTAGTACACTCCGGTCGATGAACATTGATATCTCTGGATTCCCAGATCCCAATGTATTTTTGGTGTTTCCCGACTTCAAGAGTCGGGATGGTCTGATATGTTGTGCTCTAGGAGTGCCTGAACCCAATCTACTCTAACCGCCTTCCCACTTCATGCTCTTGCCTACTACTAAATCCGACCGTCGTGTACCGCCACACCTGGAGCATGCCCAGGCGCGGTGGAGCACAGAGTCCTTCGCTCTGCACCGCGCGCGGCACACGTCGAGGGGGCGCGTGCCCGAGTCCAGAGGGCGTTGCAGACCCGGGCTGGACCTAAGCGGTGTTTTCGGTAATTTCCTGGGCCGGTTTCGTTCCGACTTCGTTTTTCGGCACCGAAGGGCAAAACGAAAGCGAAGGATTTGACCGAAAGCAAAACGAGAACGAAAACACACATCATTTAGGTGTTCAGCCCTGCGGCAGACGGGGTGACCCGATGCACCCCTTCCTCCGGGGGTGTAAAAACGCTACAGTGCCGTTTTTAATACATGCTCCGCGTGCGGACCATGTATTAAAAACAAAGGGTTGATTCGTAAGTACAAGGATGAGTTGATGCACGAATTCATTCATACATTAAGCATGTATTAACAATCCTATGTAAAAAAAAATCCCTTGTATTGAAAACTGCCCTGTAGGACTGGAGAGCGGCCACGCGCAGATCCGCGCGCGAGCGGGGGGCGGCCTCTCATCGGCGCCACCCTC